TCAGGACATGCTGGCAGCGTGCCCCGCTCCACCCACCACGCCAGTGATCGCGCCCAAGAAGCCACCCACCGACCTAGCTTCGGCCCTGAGCAAAGTCATCGTTCTGAGCGGCGTGGAACCCAAGCGTCAGGAGCTGCTCACCAGCGCCAACAGCAACCTCAAGCGCCTGGTGCTGGCCTTGATCGATGCCCTGGGCGCCGTGGCAAGAGCGGGAACCACCGACACGATTCATCGCGTGGAAACGCTACGGCAGTGCGCGCAATGCGTGGATGCAAGTGCACCTCCTCCAGCTGAGACATTGCCCGAGGCCTGGGAGGAGCTGTGCCAAGCTCACGAGAAGCTGAGCCTGCTCGAGCAGAACGGTCTCGAGCAAATTGCTCAGTGGCAGCCACCTCCAGACTACGAGCATCAGAATTGGTACCTGGCGTTTGTGCACCACGAGTCGCAAGCTCTGCTGCAGCAGTTACAAGACATGATCGACTGGCAGGCCACGACGCTCTCCATGTTGGACTCGTGCATGAGGCACGTGGACAGCTTGACCCAAGGCGTCGATGATGAATCGGTTGCTGCCAACGAGGAACTGACCAAGGTGGAGACTGAGGTTCAAAACAGCAGCGCAGCTCTACAGCTCGTGCCCGAAGTTCTTCGGTCTGCTCTCGAGCAAGAACTGAAAAAGCTAGAAACGCGACGCGACAACTTACGACAACAATTATCAGTTCAGCCACACGTGGACCACGTCGCAGAGCTCGCCCAGCTGCTGCATCAGCACTTTCCAGCGCTGCTGGTTTTTCTGCACCCTGAACAAAGCACGCTGGGAGCACGGCTCCGCACTGTGCTTGGCCCCGACCTTCCAGCCAGCCTGATCTTGGAGGCCATGACCGAAGTAGACCAGGGTTTGACGCTATCCAGCTTGGGCCAGCTTGAGCTCCAATACAACCAAAACCACAAGGTCTACAAGGCCCGTGCCGCACTTCCAGAGTGCCCTGAACAAGAATTGGCTGTCAAGGAGTACGCTTTTGCTCGGCAACACAAGCAGGACCAGTGCCGTACGTTTCTGCGCGAACTCCGCGCCATGCGCCAGCTTGAGCACCCACACATCACTCCGGTCCTTGGCGCGCTTGTGGATGTGCACAGTGGCCACCCCAGCGCCTACTTGGTGCAGCCGTGGTGTGCACAGGGGGATCTGCAGCAGTGGCTCAGCAAGGCACGGCACCTGGCCACCTCGGCTGTCATTGCAGGTTTGATGAATCAGCTGCGCGCGGCCCTGGCGTTTATGCATAGCAGGGGCCTGGTGCATCGGGATGTCAAGCTGAGCAACATCATGCTGGACGGTGCAGAGGACCAACCTGTTGTGCGGCTGGGCGATTTTGACATTGCCAAGGCCGCCGCTGAAGCCACCATGCTACCATGCACGGCCACCGCATCGTCGGGCACGGCGGGCTATGTGGCACCGGAGGTGCTTTTCGGCCAGGGTCGAGTGGGGGCGCGTCCAGCACAGGATGCCTTTTCCTTTGGCTGCGTTCTCTACAACACCTACATGTACCCACAAACGGTGCCGCCGGCTCAGTCGCGAACCGATGAGGTTGTGGGTCATTGCAGATGGAATTTCCAAGCGGGAGATGGTGCCTTTAGCTTTCCTCATCTGGCGGCCGAGGTCAGTCAAATATTATTTTTTTCTCTATGATTCTAAGACGCTCTGGTTACTGTCGTCGTCGTCGTCGTCGTCGTTGTTGTTGTAGTTGTTCATGTTCACAGCTGTGTCTCTCTGCAGATGTGCAACGTGGCAAGCGATTTGTACAAGGAAACGCGAGCCTTGCTTGCAGCAGATCCGAAACAACGGCCAAGCCTTTTCAGCGCCGGGCAGATTGCAGAACGACCTGTGGCCGCCCAAGTCGGGCCAGCCATTGACGTCTTGCGCGATGCGCCCGAGCTCATTTCAGAGGTGCGTTGCTTGTTAACTTTTTGGTTCTTCCGCAAGTCGTCTGATTTGAATCTACTGGGTGGGTAGGTGGGTGAGCTACTGAAGCAGCTGAACACCGGTGGGCGGGGACCAGCGAATATTGCAGTGCAACGAGTGGAGCGCGTGCACAACCCCGTGCTGTGGGAGCGCTACAGCGCCAAGCGACGAGAGATGTTGCATCGTATCGAAAATGAAGAGCACTATGATCAGCTCCAAACGGCCACATCAGATGCACCCTCGGGCTCTCCAGCTCTGCTTCGCGATGCATCCTGTCAAGAGCGCCTGCTGCTCCACGGCATCTCCCCTGACGCAATGCTGCGCGACAAGATTGTGCGCTTGGGCCTTGACTATCGCTTTGCCGGCAGCAGCGCTGGACACCGATTCGGTCTTGGTGTTTACTTGGCAGACCATCCCAGCAAGGTGTGCTCATTGAGTGGGTGTCCTGTGTTGCTGTCGCAACTGCGTATTCTCATGAGTGCTTATCATAATGTAGAGCCACCGATATACCGACCCGCCGCGTGGTTCGAATCGGCTTGGCCCAAACGATGAGCGGACGCTCATCATCACACGAGCACTGCTGGGCCATGCCTTTGTTCATCACTCGCCTTCGCGCGGTGCACTGGCCCCTCCGCTTCTGCCTGATGCACCCAACAATGAGCGGTGCGTTGGGCAATAAGCGGTTGTTTCGCGTGCTAGAGAGTGCCTTTGGTTGTTTTTTTGACCGGCCTGCTGTGTCTCCATCACTTCTTTAGATATGACTCGGTGATTGCCACGCCGCCGGGGGAATGTCACGAGATCATTTTGTTTGACAATACGCAAATCTATCCTGAGCTGGTGGTCTACTACACGGCCAATTAGGATGCGTCTTGCTGTTGACCTGTTTCCAGGTTCTGTTTCCTGTTTGCTTGTAGGTTGCCGTGCGACAAGGGCGTGGATGATGAATTGACATACATGCTATTATGAAGGTGCTTTGCAATCCCGAGTGAGACAGGGCATTCGTGGGTCAAGCTAAGTTCCTGTGCAAGTAATAACTTGGTATGACTGCTGGAAGCAAAAGTAGCAACGCGAGTCTGCGGCAAGAGTTTTATCCAAACCGAGCATGGGTCCAGAGGCGAGCTGACCTTTCGAGAGGATAGCGTGGGGAAATGGCTCCTAGATGTGTGCAGGTTCAGCGAGCTAGCACTCACCTACACGCACATTGCTGGAGGTACGATTGGAATCAGGCCCTCTCTTTTCTCACGTCACACTAGCTGCCCAACGCAGAGGGACGTTGAAGAAGGAGCTAAAGAAAACCCCAGACGGTACACACAGAGACAGAGACAGAGAGAGAAGACAAAGACATAATGGGAGATGGACACACACACACACACACACACACGGAATGAGAGAGCCTAAGCAAAGCCAGAAAGAAACAGAGACAGAGGCAGCGGCAGCATCATAGACGGCAGAGAGGGAGAGAGAGAGAATTATTGATGTGAATGTGAATGGCACCATGTCGATGGCCCTTTTCAAACGAGAGGGACAACCCCCATAGCGAGTGACTAGGAGCGCGGTTGCCCTGATTTGCAACATCTCCCATAGCACGACCGTGCATCAGCCAGGCTAGAAAGGCAACAACATGTAGAAACCACCGTCTTGTGGCCCCATGGCTCCTGGCACGGCGGGACCCTGATCTCTCCAGCCCGAGCTTGGGCAACACAAGTGATAATTAAACTGTCTTTTCCCTTGGATTTTTCTTGATTTTTTTTTTTTTTTTGTGTTCCCACTCCTGTTAGCATCAAATCCGTGCTACTATGGTCCTTCACACCAACCAGACA